TTAGTATTCTTAGAAGATTGCATTGAGCTAAGAGCTGTGGAGAGAATAAGGGAAATGTAAGTCACTGTGAAAATATAACCTAGTCTGGAAGAGATAATGAACAATGCAAGGTAGTATAAAATCAAATTATCAGTGTAATGGTACAGATCATGGATTCAGAGATGGACACACTTGGAGTCTTTTTAAAATAATTTAGTACTTGATTATTCACTATCTTGTACTATGTATTAAATTACTTACAAGAAACATTCAAGAAGCTTTTGCTTTACAGTCTGCATGGACTACCCAACAGTTTTTCTGGCTTGGAGGCAAAAGCACTTAACAGGGCCAGACCTTGCACTGAATCATTCCTCAAGGGACCATCTCTTATTTCTGGAATTAAATTCTGTCCCTACCAATTTGTGTTAGTAGCTGAAAGATATTGGTCTCAAATTCTACCCAAGTACTTGGAGTCATTACTCTAGATATATTATCTACAAAGTACTACTATTTATATCCTTTCTTTTCTCTCTAGATTTTCTTTCTTCCTCTATATTTTAGTTTAATTCTGATGATATTTGGTTTGATAGGGAAAAAGGAAACTCAAATTTATTAACTGCATACAACGTATCTGGTTATGTGCTAGTTATTTTTCATTTGAATTCTCTCACACATAAGCCCCCAAATATAGTTATTAATCATCCTCATGTTTTAAAGAAAGACTGAAATCCAGAGAAATTAAATAAATTATCTAACACTGAACAGGTTTTCCACAAACCCCAACATCTGGTATTAGAATATGAGTTTGGATTCTTTTTTGAATTAATATTTACTGAAAGATAGAGTCATAATTAATGTTTAATTCATTCTAATAAAAAGTTAAGTAAAAAGTAGCACAGAATTGAAGATGTGACAGACAGACAGAACAGAATACTGTGAATGAGAAATAAGAGGCATAAAAACAGATTCATGAAGACTTCAAGCATTGGAATTATCAGACAGATTAAAAAGCAAAACAACTTCCAATTCTAATAAATAAGAGTAAGCAAATGCTGGGGTATTGAAAATGCTAAATGATAATGTAGTGTATTTGAAAAAGAACCAGATAGACATTTTAGAACTGAAAAGCGTAATTGAAAGTAAGTAAATGGTTTGATAGCAGACTAGACATAGCTGATAAGTAAGCTGATAAGTAAGCTGGAAAATGAATATAACAAACTATCCAGAATGCAATACAGAGAGAAAACAATGAGGGTACAAAAGAGATAACATATGACCCAGCAATCCCACTTCTGGGCATACACACCGAGGAAACCAGATCTGAAAGAGACACGTGCACCCCAATGTTCATCGCAGCACTGTTTATAATAGCCAGGACATGGAAGCAACCTAGATGCCCATCAGCAGACCAATGGATGAGGAAGCTGTGGTACATATACATGATGGAATATTACTCAACCATTAAAAATAATTCATTTGAATCAGTTCTAATGAAATGGATGAAACTGGAGCCCATTATACAGAGCGAAGTAAGCCAGAAAGATAAAGACCATTACAGTATACTAACACATATATATGGAATTTAGAAAGATGGTAACGATAACCCTATGTGCAAAACAGAAAAAGAGACTCCGATGTATAGAACAGACTTGTGGACTCTGGGAGAAGGCGAGGGTGGGATGTTTCAAGAGAACAGCATCGAGGGTGAAACAGATCACCAGCCCAGGTTGGGTGCATGAGACAAGTGCTCGGGCCTGGTGCACTGGGAAGACCCAGAGGGATGGGGTGGAGAGGGAGGTGGGAGGGGGGACCGGGATGGGGAATACATGTAAATCCATGGCTAATTCATCTCAATGTATGACAAAAACCACTGCAATGATGTAAAGTAATTAGCCTCCAACTAATAAAAATAAATGAAAAAAATAAAAAAATAAAATAAATAAAGTCAATTATCTAAACAAAAAAAAGAGATAACAAATTATAATAACTAATAAGTCTAATATTATTTCACTGAAATCCAAAAGGAGAGAAGAGAGAAAATTGGATAGAGGCAAGATTTGAAGTGATATAGTAGAGAATGTGTGCTTTTCCAATAGTCTTTCCTATTTCTGCTGCTCAAAACTCCATCTTTTTCGGTTCCTAGGCCAAAAACCTTAAGTCATGCTTGCCTTCTCTAGTTCTCTCCTCCCCTGCATCCAACATATCAAGAAATTCTGTTAATCTATCTTCAAAATATATCCAGAATCCAACCTTATCACCAACTCAAATGCTAATACTCTGATTTATCCTGAGTCACTGTTGTTAACTCATCTCCCTGCTTCCAGGTATTATACATATAGTACACACAAGTGTACCCTAAGATATTTTTATGGTTGATATTTTCTGTTTTTATTATTTCTGTCTTACTGTTTCCATGTTCTACTTTGTTTTTGTGGAGTTGGTTGACTATTTAGAAGTAGAGACTGCCCGTAACTTGGCTATGACAATAGTCTTCAGGCTGTGCCTCCTCCGTTCACATTTGCATACCTAGGGCATGCTAACCAGCAGAAAGGCAACATGCCATCAATCTAGAATTTCTTGTTGTCCATTTACTGGAAATTTAACTTTGTGATTGTCTTTTCTGTAAAATGGGAATGGTAGTTATAGAAGCTATTTCAAAGAATTATTTGGAGGATTCAATGAGATTCAGTAAGTAAAAGAATTTAACATGCTCCCTGCACATAATAAATGCTCAAAAACCATTAGCAATTATTGTCATTACTAGGCCGGTCTCTGCTTAAATATCTTCAGTATTTCCCACTGACTACAGAATTAAGCATAAACAAAAATAATAAAACGTACTTTTAGTTATCTAAACTTAGCTCCAATGTCTTCCTAACATAAACTATTAGCTTCATCTAAGCTCTTTCACTCTCCAAGCCCTTATGTTTTATGTTCTAGTCCTACCTTTCTTACCTGAAAACTGCAGCTTTTCACAACCATCTTCCTTCCCAGCCACAGTTTGATTTCTTCTCCCCCTGCTTATCATCATGCTTCATTTATCTGTTATCAGCTCTCAAGTTATATTGCATTATAAATTGTTTGCATGTCTCATGGCACATTTGATTGTATACCTCTCAAGGGCAGAGATTTTTTAAAATTTTACTAGACTTTATTTTTTAGAGCAGTTTTCAGTTTAGAGAAAAATCAAGTGGAAAGTATAGAGATTCCTTTCACACTCCCTGCTGCCACCCAGGTGCAGCCGCCCGCAGCGTCAGTACCCCCCTCCAGAGTGGGACACTTGATTTTAGCCAGTGAGCCTTGACACTGACACGTCATCATCACACCATGTCCGTAGTTTACGTTAGGGTTCACTCTTGGTGCTTTACATTCTGTGGGTTTGGACAAATGTATAGAGACATATACCCACAGTTACTGTATTGGGCAGAATAGTTTCACTGCCCTGAGAGTCTGTGTTCCACCTATTCATCCTAATCCTTGACCAGAGACTCTTTTTCAGTTTCTCCATAAAACATAATGCCAAATACATAATTGCTCCCAAATAAATGTTTTAGATGTATGATTCAGTGAATGAAAGAAGGAGGGGACAAATCAGAGAGAATGAATGCATCCTGTCATTCTTGCTAACTGATGTGTTGTCTCCGGTTCAGTGTTCACTCATACTACCTTAGCCTATTCAGAAGACTTCCCCCACAAACTACTGTCTTTAAGAACCTGGCTTATTCTTGAGATACTTATTCAAACCCCATCTTATGTATTATACTAAATCAAGAGTGAGCTCTGGACACACCTAAGACATTTTATGAATTATCTATTTAATTTGGTGTGTCACACTTGCATTTTTTATTTCATGAGCCTATGTCTGGATTCCCCAGTGAAAATAAATTATATTTTAAAGTAATGAGTAGAGTTTCATCCTTCTTGCTTTCTGTGAGCAAGAAGTGTCTTCACAAATGATTGCTTTTCACCTGGGACTGTTGACAATGGCCATGGAACAGAGAAACTTGCTGGCCTCTAAAGAATTCACAGTCTTAGTCACTTTTGGACCAATTCAGCTGTCGAGTACAGAAAATTACTGGGGACTAATTAAAAATATAACAAGGAAGTAAATGTTTTGAAGATTTGCGCTTGCAACAGTTTCCATAAAAAGCTCTAGAGGATTTGCCAAACTGTCGTTAAAATAATATAACTAATATGTGCTAGCAGGAGTTATTTACAGAACTTCTCCATCCTTTCCCCAGTATTTTAAGCATTCTAAAACTGCATCTTTGATGTTATTTTGTTTTGATATAAATTTAAGAGGAAAATGTTGTACATATTGCTGATTTTCAAGTCATCAGTTTCTTATTTCTGCTCCCACAATACTGAACATAAGGGAAGATTACTTTGGGTTTTTGAAATTTCATTCACTTAGCTTTGACCATCTAGGAAGATACATGCATCTGAAAGTGATAATTTTGTTTTTATCTACATTATAAAACTATTTTGCACAAATGTCAGTTTTTTATCTAGGTTAATTTACTGAGATGCTTTTTTTTTTTTTTTTTTTTTTACAACTTGAGGGATTTCTGGGAAAAGTGCTTTGGGAAGGCATGAATTTGGATGTTATGAATCAAGGAGTTATGAAACTTCTTTGACCAATACTCATTTGCAATATTATAGAGAAAACTTAGTCCAGTCATATAAAAAGAGCATTTTTTTAAGTTAAGGTGATGTTTTAGTCATCTGTATAATGACAATCTAAACATTTATGCTGGACGATCTATCATTATAAATTAAGTAATGATACTTTTCTTCCTTGAAACAAAACTACAGGGGGATATTTACCATTATAAAAGAAAATAAAACATTCAATAAACAAATTATCTTTAAAATAAACTGCCAAGTGTATTCCACATTATGATCTTATAATTAATACCAGTTTTAAGTTGAAATATCAATTCATGTTCATTAATGTAATTTTAAGTCTTAGAAGGTAAACTGAGTGATTAGGTTCACGGTCGTTCTATTTTTATTCCCAGATAATGCCTCTGAGGTAGCAATTACTGCTCCAGGAACTAGTAACCATAGAAACAGCTCCACAGGCCCAACACCTGACTGCTCACCTCCATCTCCTGACACTGCCCTCAAAAATATTGTAAAAGTCATTCGACCCCAGGTAAGTGCTCATCATGACATCATGTGCAGTTTAATACATTTTGTTTTTGAATCAGTGCATGCACACCATCTGTATTGCAATACCGGGACTATTTTATAATAAGCAAATGGACTTCCAGGTTAAAGAATGGACTTGGAAGAGAATGTTTCCTTCTCTTGGAGATGATGATACACATTGAAATCTGTTAGCTTTTGGAAAATTGAATTTGTATGTTACATGAAAAAACAAGCTGAGAAAAATGGCTATTTCACATCATTTTTCTCAACATTTTAATAATTATGCTCAAACTGTTGAGCTGTTACATGTTTTCTGGTGTTTCCTTTTTCTTTTGTCTTCGTTTCTTTGGACATGCCACATTGTTTGTGATAAGTTCTTTATCCTCCCACCCCAACTGTTTATATATATATATTTCCCCCCCAAATCTTTATCCTTTATGGCTTCAAACTAATTTTGTCTGTATTTGATATTGCACCTCTCATTGCTCCTTATTTTTCTCCAGTGTTCAATTTCCTCTAGCTAGTCTCTTTACCTTTTGTTCTTTTTTTCCATTTCTGTCACTTTTCTGTATGGGTTTCTTTCTCTTACCCCTTTTCTTTCAGTTGGATTTCCCAGTAGGCGGTTTGCAGGCAAGCTTTAGAAATATCATTGGGACAAGCTGTTCTGTGATATTTCATTGAAAATAGCACTTATAAAGCTGTTTGCATTATATTTTTGCCAACAGATGGACTCAGAACATGGAATTGGTGGTGTTCTCAACCTGGCTCATTCTGAATGGGCCTCACAAAATTCAAGAGAGAGGAACTTTGGACCCTATCAGTGCCATTCACTATCTACTTAGATATATAGTATGAACAAATATTTTGAGCCAATTTGCAGAACAAATATGTCTTTTGAGATTGTTTTGACCTAAATGAGCAATAATTTATTTAACATCTTACCTTCTTTAACACAACTTATTTTGGATTTTTTAATTATAAGCATCATCCTCATCAGTAAAATGACATTTGAGCTTTACATATCTGCTACAGTTTATAGAACACTTTCCTACAGATTATTTTGTTCAACCTTTATCAGTTCCAAGGGAATGTATATTTTAGTGTTATGGACAGGATATTGGCACTCCAGAGGGGCTAAGTTGTGCAACTAATTTGAAGTTTCTTGTACTTCCCTTGGTGTAATAATTGTCTCCTGCGATCCTGTTCAGAGGGTAGAAAACTCCTCATCAGGATATATAATTTTGAGGATAAAACTTACAGGTTCATTTAGGCATAGGTATTATTTCACACAATGTCCTGGTATGTGGAGCAGGAAAATGTCTTCAATAATTCCTCTTCGTTTTCAGGGAAATTTGACCTAGTTCATTTGTTTCAGGAAATAAACCTCACTAAACTTAGCTTTAGTTGCTAAATGTCACATTTATTATCATTGGTTTTCTCACTAGGCTAAGGTGTTTCTGGTGCTATTGTGCAGCTATTGCATTTCCAACATTTTAAACTATTTATACAGGAGATTGTCTTATATATATTAACAAAATTTATTACTAAACATTTAATTTTATATCAGTGTAAATTCTCTAATATAAATGCATTTGGTCATTCAGTGAATGAAAAAGATTCCTTTCTGTGTAGTCTAATGAACTCTAAAGGATCTTACTCCATAAATCCTCCTTTACATATCTTATTTTAGTAAACTTTGAAGAAATCTAGGAGTAGTGTTAAAGCCAGAAATTCCACTTGACTCCACTCCTTGGTTCTGTCCATTTTTAAATGTGTATGAAGGTAACTGACTCTACTTTCCTTTATTAGATGTTATAATGATGATTTAGGGAAGGAAAAATGAAGGGAAAAAATTGTGAAACTAAGGAAGATGATATTTCAGTTAGAACCAATGCAACCTGTATGTATGTATGTTGTAGAACAATAACAGCTAAGGTATATAATTAAGAAAGAATATAACCTCACTTGGGCCACTCTTTCTTTTACCTCGGAGACTTTGGTGCAATACTTATTTCTCCTTTTGAGCCCTGATCTCCTGGGGTTCTTCATACATTGTAGAGAGCAGGGAATAGAAAATTCAAGTGAAAGTAATTATGAAGGAGTATTGGAGTAGAACATGTGATTTCAAGAAATGGTTTGGAGACCAGAGGGTGTGAATAGGGGACAGCTAGATGGATAAAACAGAGGACTCCCTGCTGTGCTCTGACAAGGCGCAGGTGTCAGGAATGGAACACTGTCGAGAGCTACTGTTCCAAAGAGATAATTATTGGTTAGCTTATATAAGAGCCTAGCTTAACCCTCTAGGTGTTTGATAAGTCTCCTGGTTTTTCTGTCTGGAAATGCATGAATGTGATTTAATTGACTTCAGTTCAGTTCAATCACTCAGTCATGTCCAACTCTTTGTGACACCATGAACCACAGCATGCCAGGCCTCCCTGTCCATCACCAACTCCCGGAGTCCACCCAAGCCCATGTCCATTGAGTCGGTGATGCCATCCAACCATCTCATCCTCTGTCGTCCCTTTCTCCTCCTGCCCTCAATCTTTCCCAGCATCAGGGTCTTTTCCAATGAGTCAGCTCTTCGCATCAGGTGGCCAAAGTATTGGAGTTTCAGCTTTAACATCAGTCCTTCCAATGAACACCCAGGACTAATCTCCTTATGGGTATTCAAATACTGTTTTCATTTATTAATTAGAAATTAATAACATTATCAGAATAATCATTTCACTCTTAAAACTGGTGATAAGCCTTGAAAATGGAAGTATAAGTGCAACTCTTAATCATTAATTTACTTTAATTTGCCTGGGCATTAGTACATGTGTTTAGTCTTATTGTGAGAAGAGTGATACAGAACAGATGCAAGATAAAAACAGAACTCTTCATCTTATTCACTCACTACAAATAGATACTGATCAGATAGAGCAAGTTGAGTTACTTCTCCTTCACCTCATGCATACCTTTATCTAGTCTACTTTCATAACTCTATAAATGGAAGATATCCATTATAACCAATGAGTTCTTGCTTTCACTATGAGGTACAGCTGATTATACATTGCATGTGTTTCTGACTGGTGTATTAATTGTGACAGATTTTGCAGTGCTTTATTGAGTTTGACTATTTGACATATTTATTAACTCAGTAAGTCACAACTGTTAATTCTGCATCCTGTATTTGATCTTTTTACCTTTGCTTCTTTGGACTCTTTCATGTCTTAAAATTCCTCAGATTGTGAAACTTTCTGTTTTTGATTCACAGAGTCTGAAATACTGATGTGCTACTGGCTTCTCTTTGTCTCTTTTCAGTATATTGACCCTCAAGCCTGAAGCTCTCTATTTAGATGAATTTGCAAGGCTAGGCCCACTTACTCATACTTGAAAATAGAGTTGTTTCTAAACTTGAAAAGGTACTTGAAATACTTGAAAAATACATGTTAAAAAATTTAGGTAGGTCTATTGCAGGAGACCTGGTTTTGACCCCTGAGTTGGGAAGATGCCCTGGAGGAGGGCATTCCTCCAGTATCCTTGCCTAGAGAATCCCCATGGACAGCAGAGCCTGGTGGGCAGTCCATGGGGTCGCCAAGAGCTGGACACGGCTGAGCGATTAAGCCCAGCACAGCACTGACATGCCAGTTTTCTTTTTGCTTTTTCTTTGTAATGTCTTTTTTAAAAATGTAATGTTTGCTGGTGAAGCATCTTTTTACCCTTAATAGAAGAATATAGTTTGATGGATTTTGACAACTGCGTACGTAGGTGTAACCACCGCTCCAGGCAGGATATAGAACTTTGGTGTTACCCTCAGAAAGTTGCCTCCTGCCTGTTTCCAGTCAGGGGCCCTTATTCCTGCCTCAGTGTGTGCATGCATGCTTGCTCCATTGCTCAGTCATGTCTGACTCTTTGCAACCCCATGGGCTGTAGCCCATCAGAGTCTCCTTTCCATGGAATTTTCCAGGCAAGAATAATGCAGTGGGTTGCCATTTCCTATTCCAGGGGATCTTCCCAACCCAGGGATCGAACCCACATCTCTTGCATCTCCTGAACTGGCAGGCAGATTCTTCACCACTGCTGCCACTTCTTTCCGATTTTTATCATCATAATTTAGAATTGCCTATCCTTGGACTTTTTGTAAATGGAATCCTACTGTGTGTGTATGTTTTATGTATGCCCAGGTCTGGATTCTTTCACTCAATATAATTCACTCATGTTATGCCTTTTTTTTTCTTTTTTGCCGAGTAGTTGGATTAACATAGTTGTTTCATGTTATTTGGTGTTATGAATGAATGTGCACTATATGTTCATATAGATACCAAAAAGTAGAAATCAGGTTGTAAGGCAGATAAATAACTAGTATTATAAGAAACTTGCCAAGAGTTTTCTGAATTATTAGTTCCATAATTTAATCCCACATAGAAATCTGAGATTTTTGATTTCTCCACAGTCTTGCCAACATTTACACTTTCAATTTTTTTTTTCATTTTAACCATCCTTATGGGTATGAAAGCATGTCTCATTATGGCTTTAAGCATTTTTTCCTGTGGCTATTGCTCATTATTATATCTTTTGAGAAGTGCCTGTTCACATCTTCTTTATGGGATTGTTCAATTTCCTAATTGTCAATTTGTAGTAATTTTTTATTACTACATTCATATTACCTTTTTACTACTACAATTTTTTTGTTACTACATTTATTACTAAATTCTCCTATAATTCTAAAAGATTTTAGTTATTTGTCTGGTTTATGCCCTGCAAATATTTTTCCCAGTCTGTGATTTGCCTTAATTTTTAAAACATTTTATTTAATGTATTTCTTTATGGTTGTGCTGAGTCTTAGCCGCTCTGTGGCTTTCTCTAGCTGCGGTGAGCAGGGATCACTGTCTAGTAGAGGTGCCTGGGCTTCTCACTGCTGTGGCTTCTCTTGTTGCGGAGCAGGGACTCCAGAGTGCTGGTCCAGTGGCTGTGGCGCGTGGGCTGTTTCTCCATGGCATGAGGGATCTTCCCTGGCTGGGG